AAGTTCAACCCTCAACAAAAGAGGAAGCAATCGAGCTCACCAACGAACGAACCGAAATCCAAGAAGAAGGGAGGCAAGACAACTGCCAAGAAATCCAAGGTTCCGACCAACATCGACCCAGACAGTTCTCTCGGCGCTGCCACCAACGCCACTAAGTACGCGTGCGAACTGGTGGAAGGACTCGCCGACGAATACCATCACGAAGACCAGATCGGGCCATGCCTCAACAAAGTCGCTAAAGCCCTCGATCAGGTATGCCAGGCACTGTTCTACCTGTCTAGGGAACGGCAAGGTGCAACAAACAACGGCAACCAAAAAAAAGTGGACGCCGAGACAAACACCGAAAGCGAACTACCAACTCCGCGGCCGCCCCCAACCCCGCTCCACACCGGCAAAGTCCAGACGAACAAATCGCACAAACAAGGGCAACAAAGCAAGAATGCCAACAACAGAAGCAAAAACGACGCAAGGACCCCGATGCACATCACCCCGGCTGAAACGCCGGCGACCTCGGCTGAGCCAACCACAAGCCAGCCAGAGACAGAGCTGGTCGAAGAACCATTCACCGAAGTTATGCCATCAAAAAAGAAAAGCTCCCCCAGAACCCAAACGGCCAGGAAAACGGTGCAGAGATCTGCAGCCGTCCTGGTCTCCGAAGGCCGGACATACGCGGACACGCTGCGCGAGGTCAGAGAAACGGACATTGACTTTGAGGGCATGGGAACCCACGTGACGTCGATGAGGAAGACCCGAAACGGAGACCTGCTGGTCGAATTGACCAAGGGTGCCAAGACCACTGCAGCTACATCTGTCATCCGCGACAAGCTTGCGGAGAAGATGTCCGGATCAGTAGTCACTAGGCTTCGCCACACCGCCGAAGTGGAGATCACCGACCTAGATGAGGTCACCACCAAGGCAGAACTCCTGGCCGCGATCCTCAAGGCCTTACGTGAAAAAGACCTCCCCTCCGCAGAGGACATCAAAATCACCGGTCTATGGGCCAAGCGGGACAGCCGCCAAATGGCCACCGCCACCGTTCCCGTCGCCATCAGCCGAAGCCTGACATCCATCCGCGTCGGATGGACCCAGTGCCGTGTTCGCCCGCGCAGACCCGAACCAGCACGGTGCTACCAATGCCACGGCTTCGGCCACTCCACACGGCAGTGCAAAGGATCCGACCTCTCGCACGCCTGCAGACGATGTGGCGAAAACGGACACACCCAGGCAACCTGTGAAAAGGGCGAAGACCACTGCGTGGCGTGCGACCAAATGAAGGTATCACGCACACCTCAGAAGCCCGGATCAGGGGCTTGTGCGGCTCGAAGAAAAGCCATCGTCGAGATGCACGCCTCCACAACCCGAAAATGATCAACATAATACAGATCAATCTCCGACGGAGCGCCACGGCCCAGAGCCTCCTCCAGCAGACGTCACCGCAAACGTCTACGTCGACGAAATCGACCGCAACCGCCCCGCGGGCTAGTCGTACCGGCAGCTGGATCCCATCGCTCTCGCAGCGCACCTGGCCAACACGGCCCAACCCGCCGTCGATGACTCCACCACCGCGACCGAAGCAGCCGATCAGCTGATCGACTACCTTGTGGCGGCTTGCGACTCGTGCATGCCTCCGAGGGCCACCCCGAGAGCGGGCAGAAGATCTGTCCACTGGTGGTCCAACGACCGGGCGACGCTCCGACGATCCACCGTCAAGACGCGAAGAACGGCCCAACGGTCCGCCCGTAGGCGCGACCCGCGAGAACAGGTTGACGTTCACCGCAGCTCGAAAAGCCTTACGCGACGCCATCCGCGACGCCCAGGCCAAGAGCTGGGCCGAGCTGTGTAAAGCCGTCGACGACGACCCCTGGGGCCTGCCTTACAGGGTCGTCACGAAAAAGATCTCCCGTAAGCGGCCGGGCGTCGAAGCTCGCGGCAGAGAAGACTCCATCGCTGACCACCTGTTCCCGGAACCTCCGGCCACCGACTGGGCGACCGAGCCTCGCCTGACTTACGACGCCGCCGATCCCGCGACACCCTGGTTCACGATATCAGAGCTGCGCGAAGCGTGCCTCCGGCTCCCGGCCGGCAAAGCCACGGGACCGGACGGTATCCCGAACGAGATCTTACTCCGGGTCTCAAGAATCGCACCACAAGTGTTTCTCGATGCGTACAACCGGTGCCTCTCGGAGAGCAAATTCCCCGAACGGTGGAAGATCTCCAGGCTCGTCCTCCTCCGGAAGGGACCGGATAAACCCGTGCTCTCCCCGTCGAGCTTCAGACCGTTGTGTATGCTCAACTCCACGGCCAAGCTCCTCGAGCGACTCCTCCTCACCAGACTAAACTAGCACCTGGACTCGACCGGCCAGCGGTCCGACAACCAATTCGGCTTCC